ATATCGAAGTTTTATTAGTAATATTTACTTTTTGGTATTTGTATTTGACAACTTATTATTTATATGTTATTAAATTAGATTACGTTAATTTGTAAAAGTTAAGATTGAACTTGGTATTTGTATCTACTTTTTGTTATTAATATTGGTATCCACTTTCAGGTATATTTATGTAGTATTATTTTAAATGTTAAAAAATTTAATTATAGTACGGAACTGAACCGAACGGAATCGAATCGAATCGAAACCGAATGGTTCCAAATATAATTTGGAACCGACAATTCCATTTACTAAATACCTAAAAAATTCTGGAACTGAAAAAAATCGAATCGAACCTAACCGAACCGACCCGTGCCCACCCTTAGATATGGGGGTTAGGAGACGAGAGGAGGATGTTGACTTGTCAAGTGATAATTCCAAATTAAATTCGAGTTGTAAGCCAGTTCTCAAGAAGAATAAGTTAGTTCTTGATATTGTTTTGCCTGAAAACGATGAAATCAATGACATTCCAAGATCTCAACGTAATAATAAGCACCATTCAATCCAGTATGTGGAAGGTATCAAAAAGATTGAAACATTGAATAAGAAGAAGAATGTATTGCAAAACAAGACAAAGAGACATTCAGTCAAAGAAAAGAAAAAGGGCAACGAAAATCTCTGGAGTGAAGAGATGGTAATGTTGAATGATTTTAAAAACTTTACGGATGCCTTAATAGACGAATTTAAAGTTGCAAGGGAGAAAATGTTGCACGGATGAGGGACGAGTTGAAAAAGATGATGTCTTCAAGGTCATCTTCGAGGCCAAAAAAAAAAAAAAGATATTGAATGTTCTCGGAAGAATGAATCCTAGCCTAAGCATCGATCTGAATCACGTAAAAAGAGTAAAAGTAATGTGGTATCTGATCCAAATGAATTTCTGAAAGCTGTTGGTCTTGAAGTGACTACAATATATGAGTCGAACAAAGGGAAAGATTCGGGATTACCTAAAAAAAGGCAGAGGAGTCTGATCAAATAGTCTCTTCATCATTCTTTGAGTTTGCCTATAGTTGTGCCAAATCTTGAACTTCGAAGCCAAATAAATGATATTTGATAAGTGTAGTTTTTATACTTATTCGATACTCTAAATCATGATATTTTATTGTCTTTTGAATAAAATTCTTACCTAATTTATGTTATATTCTATTTTGTAGGTAAAACTTTATGTTCAATGAAGAATTGAAGAAAAGAATGCAAAATAACAAAAAAATAGAAAAATTCATAGTACGAGGACTTGGAAGGAAGCATTAAATTAATTGGACTTTAATTTGAAATTTCATTGAGCTTGGACTCTCTAGTTGAAAAGAATTAAAAAAAGGGTTGTGAATAATTATATATATACCTACATTCACTGCAATATATATTAGTGATACATACACGTAGAAGGTTGAAAATGATATTTATTCACGCACAGGCCGCAGCAGTAAGAAGAAAACAGGGGCGGGAAGAGAGAAAAAGGAAAACAAAAGAGAGAATAGAGAGAGGTTGAGAAGTCAAAAATAGTGGGCTGCTGAATATTGTTTTATATATATATATATACATACACACACAAGCACATGCACAGAAAGTGGAAAACTGAGGCTGACATTGAAATGTATATTCACAAGCAGAAAAAGATAGAAAATCGGCAGCTCGTGCGGGAAGAAAACAGGGGTTGACATTATTATATATATACACGCAAGAGCCGACAACTAATTGGAGAGAGAAAGAGAGGCAACCGGTAGCACAAGGGAGAAGAAGAAAGGAGACGGCACACACGAAAATCAATCACGTTTCGTCACATTTTGGTGATGTCGTTCCACTTTTTCGTGTTTAATTTCAACGTTATGAGTGGCTAAATATCTTTATGTTAGGATGGATGATGTGGCTTAAAGTTTTTATTATATGTTTAATTTCAAGATTTTCATGCCATTTTAATACTTGATAATTAATTATTGAGTGTTTAATGCTTTAATTGTCGCTCAAGAATTGAATGATTTAGAGATAATACTGAGACCGAGAAGTGATGTATAATTCTAATTCGTGCAATAATTAACATAAATATTATAAGAGATCGAGAGATAATTATAGGCTATGCGATCCATGTTGAATTCCTATAGATAAATGTATTCATATGTGACTGAATTTATATAGAGTTATAGTAAGTTCAAGCATATGAATAGGATTAGTGTTGCTCGAGAGAGATCACTAAATACAATAGGTTAATTCGATCATTAGCAAGTATGAAAAGATGGTTGAATAAATTGAAATTAATGTATGATAAACAACCTAAGTGAAACTGAAAATCCTTACTATCCAATCACATAATCTTATTTACAGTTTTGATTCAAGTTTGTTATTTTATTAATTAGAACTTCGTTTAGAAAAGACAATTTGATTTTATCATTAGTTACCAGTTTAAATTGAAGTTAAGTAAGTTTAAAAATTTATAGTACATAATAGTTTCTGTGGGACGATATTCGGACTTGGTAATTCCACTTTATTACTTGTTACGATCCGTACACTTGCGAAATTTCAAGAAAAAGTTTTTGGCACCGTTGTCGGGGACTAGTTTATTTGCTTTAATTTTTTTTATTAATTCTAGTTTTGATTTAGATTTTTTTTTTGTTTTTGTGTGTTTTTGTTTTCATTTTCGTTGCAAGTGTCATTGTATGCGAAGTTCGAGAGTTGGTAATCTAGTACCTTTGGATCCAGAAATCGAACACACTTTCAACCAGAGAATTAGGCAACAACAAGAGAGCATTATGGCAGAACATAATAGAGAAGTGCAACTAACACAAGTTGAACAACCAGTCGAGATTGATGAAGATGATTTTCCACTTGGACAATTCATCACACCACTTGTTGCACCAAATCAGTCAAGCATCGTTTATCTTCCAATCGGGCAACCAAATTTTCAACTGAGGACAACCATCATTTTATTGTTCCAGAATGGAGTATCATTTTATGGAAAATCTCATGAGAATCCACACAATCACAACTCACGCTTTTTGGACATCTACCAAAATTACAATTTCCATGGAGTATGTGATGAAGCAATCAATTTGAGACTCTTTCCACATACACTCAGAGGCGGAGCAAGAGAATGGTTGGATGCCCTACCTACTGAAAGCATTAGAACCTAAAATGATCTCGTACAAAAAATAGTCACAAAATACTTTCCACTGTAAAAAATAACTAAAATGAGACACGTGACATCCACTTTTCAGCAGGATGAATTAGAGAGTTTTTCACGAAGCATGTGAAAGATTTAAGGACTTGATCAAGAAGTATCCTAACCATAGAATTAAGAAAAAATTGCAAGTTCAGTGTTTCTACACTAACTTAAACCCAGCATGTCGTATATAGGAGGATACAGCTTCAAATGGATCTATCACATTAAAGTTACCCAAGGAAATTGAGGAATTTTATGAGACGATGGTAGTCCACAATGCCTTATGGCCTTCTGAATGATCCACACATAAGAAGCACACAAGTCGACATGAGGTGGATGATTTCTCGGCATTATCAACACAGATGTCAGCTTTGGAGAAGAAGTTTATAGATCACTTGACTACAAGAAATTCAGTAAAAGCAGTGCATAGGAAATTTTTGGTTTGCGGTATATGTGGTGGAGCTCACAATACAGGAGAATGCCATATGGCATCTCAAGAGACAAATGAAGTTAACTATGCACAAAATTATCAATGCCAACACAACAATGCATTCAACATACATATGACTCAGGTTGGCATAATCACCCTAACTTTTCATGGAGCAACAACCAAAATAATCAGCAACAGCATCTCTTTGGCTTTGAACAGCAAGAGAAAAAATCATTTCTGGAAGATATCTTGTGTAAATTTATACAGAAGATCGACATTATATGGCAAAGATCGAAACTATCTTACAAAATCATTCAGCAGCTATAAAGGAGTTGGAAACTCAAATAGGTCAGTTGGCCAGCACTGTCTTAGAAAGACTACAAGGAACCCTACCTAACAACACGAAAACTAATCCAAAGGGATATGTGCAAGCAATTACAATAAGAATTGGGATACATGTGCTTGAAATTATAGTAAAAAGACCAGTACAGAGACAAATAAAGTGTCTACTTTAGATGAGGAGCAAGTTGAGGGATCTGAAAAGCCAACAGAAAAAAATTTGAAAGAGAATTCAGACACACCACAGCTTAAGGCAGCCATTCCTATCAGAGAATATGTACACTACATTCCATTTTCTCAACGACTGTATAAACATAAAGTAGACAAACAATTCTCCAAGTTCATTGAAGTGTTTAAAAAGTTGCATATCAACATTCCATTCACAGATGCTTTAGCACAAATGTCCAGCTATGCAAACTTTATGAAGGAAAATCTCACTAACAAGAGGAAGTTTGAGGATTATGAGACCGTGTGCTAACTGAGGAGTGCAGTGAACTTCTATAAAATAAATTAGCTCCTAAGCTCAAGGATCCAGGGAGTTTTACTATACCTTGTACCATATGAGATAAATATTTTGAACATACTTTATGCAATCTTGGCGCAAGTATAAATTTAATGCCATTGTCTTTGTACAGGAAACTAAAAATTGGAGAGGCCAAAACAACCACAATATCATTGCAGCTAGCTAACCGCTCCATAAAGCATCAAATGGGGATTATTGAAGATATCTTGATGAAGGTGGACAAATTCATTTACCCCGCGAATTTTATTGTATTAGATATGGAAAAGGATTGGGATATTCCAATCATTTTGGGCAGGCTATTCCTTGCTATGGGAAATGCTTTGATTAATGTACACAAAAGGCAGTTAATTTTGAGATTGGAGGATGAGTAAGTCACTTTCAACGTCTTCAAATTAATTACGTATCCATCTGAATCCAACTTTTGTTTTCATATTGATATTATAGATAATTTGGTGGTAAAGTCCGTTGCACATGAACATCTTACGGAACCATTTGAAGCATGTCTAGTTCATTCTGGATCCAAAATAATAGAAAATCTTGAAATTGAGGAGTACGTCAATTATTTGGAATCATCACCACATGTTGCATTCCCAAGGAGGCACCAATTTGAAGAGCTTGGTAAATGCCCTACTAAACCATTGCCATCTATTCAACATCCACCAACTCTTGAACTGAAACATCTACTAACGCATTTGAAGTATGCCTACCTAGGGGAAACTTCTACATTTCCAATCATCATTGCAAGATCTATAACAAATGAGGAAGAAAAGAAATTACTTAGGGTGCTCAGAGAACACAAAACTACAATTGGATGGTCCATCGCTGACATAAAGGGTATCAGTCCACCTTATGCATGCACAAGATTTTTATGGAAGATGACTTCAAACCATCAGTTGAGCATCAAAGGAGATTGAATCCCAGTATGAAAGAGGTGGTTTAGGCTGAAGTACTTAAACTTTTGGATGCAGGTATTACATATCCCAATTCTGATAGTAAGTGGGTAAGTCAAGTGCAAGTAGTAGAAAAGGGGCATTACAGTAGTGAAAAATGAGAACAAAAAACTCATACCTATCAGAACAGTAATAGGATAGAGGGTCTGTATTGATTATCGAAAGTTAAACAATGCTACGAGAAAATGTTACTTCCCTCTACCATTCATCGACCGGATGCTGGAAAGACGAGTATGACATTCTCATTATTGCTTTTTGGATGGATACTCGAGATACAACTAGATCCCAATTGCTTTTGAAGATCAAGAGAATACAACATTTACATGTCCTTACGGAACCTTTGCTTTAGGAGGATGCCATTTGGTTTATGCAATGCACCTGCCACATTTCAGAGATGTATGATGACAATCTTCTCAGATATGATTGAAAAATTTATTGAGGTATTTATGGATGATTTCTCAGTTTTTGGGTCTTCATTTGATACATGTCTCAAGAATCTAGCATTAGTTCTACAAAGGTGTGAAGAAAGAAATCTTGTGTTGAATTGGGAAAGTGTCACTTCATGGTTCAGGAGTGTATTGTATTGGGTCATCGAGTATTAAGTAAAGGTATTGAGGTTGACAAGGTAAAAATTCAGGTAATTGAAAAACTGCCTCTATATACTTCAGTGAAGGGAATCAGAAGTTTCCTAGATCGATGGCTGCAATATATATTAGTGATACACACACAGAGAAGAGGGAAAATGATATTTATTCACGCACATGCCGTAGCAGAGAGAAGAAAACAGGGGCTGGGAAGAGAGAAAATAAAAGAAAAAGAAAAAGAAAAGAAAAGAGAGAATAGAAAGAGGTTGAGAAGTCAAAAATAGTGGGCTGCTGAATATTGTTTTATTTATATACATGCACACGCACAGAAAGTGGAAAACTGAGGCTGACATTGAAATACATATTCACAAGTAGAAAAAGAAGGAAAATTGACAGCTCGTGGGGGGAGAAAACATGGGCTGACATTAATATATATATACATGCAAGAGTCGGCAGTTAATTGGAGAGAGAAAGAGAGGCAGCCGGTAGCTTGAGGGAGAAAAAGAAAGGAGATGGCACACATGAAAATCAATCATGTTTCATACTTTTTAGTGATGTCGTTCCACTTTTGCGTGTTTAATTTCAACGTTATGCGTGACTAAATATTTTTATATTAGGATGGATGATGTAGTTTAAAGTTTTCATTATATGTTTAATTTCAAGATTTTCATGCCATTTTAATACCTGTTAATTAATTATTGTATGTTTAATACTTTAATTGTCAGGGCAACAATTGATTGATTTAGAGATAATACTCAGACCGAGAGGTGATGTATAATTCTAGCTCATGCAATAATTAACATAGACATTATAAGATATCGAGAGATAATTCTTATAGATAAATGCATTCATATGTGAGTGAATTTACATAGAGATATAGTAAGTTCGAGCATATCAATAGGATTAGTGTTGCTCGAGAGAAATCACTAAATACAATAGGTTAATTCAATTGTTAGCAGGTGTGAAGAGATTGTTGAATAAATTGGAATTAAATGTATGATAAATAACCTAAGTGAAATCGAAAATCCTAATTATCCAATCACATAATCTTTTCTACAATTTTAATTTGAGTTTGATATTTTTTATTAATCGCTTGTTAATTGGAATTAAATATATGATAAATAATCTAAGTGAAGTCGAAAATCCTAACTATCCAATCACATAATCTTATTTACAGTCTTAATTCGAGTTTGTTATTTATTTATTAGAACTTCGTTTGGAAAACACAATTTGATTTGATGATTAGTTTACCATTTTAAATTGAAACTAGGTTAGTTTAAAACTTTATAGTAGATAATAGTATCTGTGAGACGATATTCGAATTTGATAAATCCACTTTATTACTTGTCATGATCCGTATATTTGCGGAATTTCACGAATAATATTCCTTTGAATGATCTTATTCAGCCGGTAGCAGCCTCGAATAAACCAAGCTCGGAATTAGACACGGGAGAAATATTAAATGGAAAAAAGAATCACAATGGATTTCCGGGATTCCACCAAGAAGCACTACTCGGAAGTTTTTCTCACCAAAGTTCCAAAACTATGGGTTTCCGTGGCCTACATTGCTTTCAAACATCAAGCGTTGACAATGGCTTCTCATTTCCACTTCATCAGGGCATGGACAATAGTTTGAATATATCGAGCCAAACTTTCTCGGAGAATTCATTCATGGATAACAGTATAGTCACCACCAGGTCGCACAATGGCATCAAGAAATTTCCTGGTGGAAGTCGTGATGCCGGGATGCTCTTTGGTAACAGCCACGGCTTATTTAGCAAACGATGACTACAGTTGACGACTTGACCTATCTCTCTATTTTTTTTTCCTTTTTTGTTTAAGGGACGAACGACGTGCGACTCCTTGGCTATTTTCTGGTTCTCTCCTATCCGTTTTCCCAGTTAAAGCAGGATTTTGCTCATATAAGCTCTTATTTCTGTATAAAAATTCTTATGCAATGCAATGTATCTTTAATGAAATTCATTTAGATAATCGTCGATTTGGGTGAATTCGTCTGGTTGGATTTCATGTATTTGGTGGTTTGAGCAATGAAATGCTGTCTGTTACATGGTTCGCTTGATCGATGAGAATGCTTAACGTTAGGTTTTGCTTAAAGTTGCTTCTTAAGTAACTTTTTTTTGCCCACATATTTTAGGTTCTTATAAAGTTTATATTTTCTTTGTTTTTCAGAGTGTGTTTGGAACCCATTCTTTTGAAAGAATGTATTATTGAATAGTAAATTGTACCTTTTACACACCAATTTTTACTTCTTTTTCAATAACTAAACTACCTTTTATAATAAAATAACTTTTTACACGCCAACTTTTACTCATTTTCTTACTTTTACTTTTTTTATTACACATGCAAACAGGGCCTGAGTATAGAAACTTGATTTTTAAAGGGTGATTTATTTATTTATTTATTTATTTTTTTTTTTGCCCTTTGTGGATTAGGTTCCATGTTTTAGCAGTTATTGTCACGTGATTTTGTATGAAAAAAGGGGACAAAATTTGGCTTGAAGTGTTATTACTAATAATATGATTTTCGACTTCTTTCCAAAAATAAAAAATAAATAAATAAATTCTCTTATCCCGTATTAGACAACACTAAATTTTTTTTTTTTTTAAAAAAGGATTAAACTTCTTTTTCTTTTCTAATAATTTTATTATAACTATTCTATATCTTATTAATGGCCCGTTTGATTTTCATTATTGTCGAATAAGAATGAAAAATATAATCGTTATTGGACCTCATACAAGAGATAGAAATTCAAAATTGATGGCTTGATGTGATGGATAACAATCATAATTTTCATTTTTATGAATGAAAAATGAGAAACAAACGGAGGCTAAACATGATGTGAGAGTACTACTTTCATCAATTAACCAATGTGAAGTCTCATTGATTGGCGTAAATTTTCACTCAAATAGTAAGGTATTACAGTAATCGACTGTATTAACATAGAATTTACAATCTTATTCATCATATTACGCCAATCCAAACACATTTGGTGCATCAATGATGTGAGTTAATATTTAAACTTATCTAAGTTAGTCGTGATAAAATTTTACCACGTCAATTTTTTGTTAAAATAATCGACCTAACTTTTTTATTAAATATTTTTTAGATTGAAATGCGGAATCTCTTGTTAAAATAAGTTAAACCAACAAACAGTCTGAAAATTTTGTAATTTTATTGTGTTGAACTTGAAATTATTTATTTATTTTGAACTGCAAAAGTAATTGGTTCTAATACAAACTCATGTTCGACAATTATTATCCCGATCACGATGCTTAACGACGTGAATTATTATTTTGATCTAATCAAAATCGATAAATTAAAACGCCCCTTTTAATTTATAACTAATTCATTTTCGTTGTCCCAGATTGACATCTAACAATGTGTCAGGGTAATACATGTGACGGGAAATATCACGTGGTATGACAAAATCAAATTTGTTCGTTTACCGTGAAACTATAATCATTTCGTCAATATGATCCGATCAATTATGAGATATGGATATGTGTCAATCTCAATTATCGATCATATCTTTTATCCCACT